CCACTTTTGTTTTGTTTTATTTAATAAACGTTTTGAACTTTCCTACTGACTGTCTCTCCTTGAATACTGGGTCCATCTGTCCTCGGTTCATGAATCCCACATTCTGACAATCTGTGTCAATGCATGCTGCCTGACGGCAGCCCGCCGCTCCCCAAGGTGAAATGCAGCAGACGGATTTTGTTGTAGTTTACAAAAGTTACAAAGACAAATAAAGATGATGAGGATTATTATCATGTTAACAGCTTTAAAATAAATAAGAAGATATATAATTGGTTTAATGCACACAAATGCTAAACTTCTGCCAACTCAGAAACAGACTCGATTCCACTTTTATCAACATATTATCCAAGGCTAAATCATAAGAAGCTGCATTTAGATTTAGACACAAAACATTAATTAAACATTCATATTTACCAAAGCTAAGTTAAAAACACATGAATGAGCACTGCAGCTTTTTTTCTGCATCGTCCACGTGTGAAATAATTCAGGTAAACTAAAGAGGCAGTTGTAACACCCAGCTGTGATATACAGCCAACACTGTGGAACATCTGCCTCCTTTGTAGCCGGTTAAGAAGTGACATTCTGATCTAATATCCACCTAAAGTTAACAGTCAACGTAAAACATGTGGGCTGAGAGCCACAGATGTATTAAATATTATCACACACGGCCTAATATTTCACTAACCCTTAGCATTTCATTCGGAGATGTACTCGAGATAAAAAGCAATAATCTCAGCTTGATGGATGGCCCAGCCGGAGCCCCGGGCCAGTGGTGTGTGCACAAACTGCAGCGGAACGATAAAACCAACATGGAGCAGGTGTGTTTGGTTAAGATGCACTTGTCAAGTGGGGTGACGAGCATGTCTGTGTTCATTCAGCTGAACCCTCTTATCTGCACCTCCATGTCCCACTCAAGAGACAAAGGCACTTGGCCATGTTTGTATGATTTACCTCTCCTCATGTAACTGCACCGCCGTACACATGAAACCCTTTCTTACGCAGAGTGCAAGCTAAAATTATTTATAGACTTTTATTACCGCCCGTCTATAAAACATACAGGTGTATCTCAATAAATTAAAATAACTTTGAAATGTTCACTTATTTCAGTGATGCAATTCGGACTGTGAAACTCATATATTCTATAGATTCATAATACACAGAGTGATATATCTAAGGTTCTTATTGCTGCTGGTGTATATATAATTGCACTTTAGGGTTGTTCTTTTTTTTTATATCTTCCTGTGCATTTTTTAAAATATTTTCATGTAAAAATGTTTTCTCATGTAAGATTTGGCTGTTATGCTGTATTCACACCGGACGCAGAGGGAGCAGCAAAATCGCGTCTGCTGCTTCATT